CTGAACTCGTTACAACGGCAATGGTCCAGTCAACATTTGTTCCAAGTTTGATTAGTATTGAAGCATTTTTTCATAGTTTCATAGCACTTTGAACTTGTAACAGGAGGCTTTTCAGAGCAAACGGCCATTTTTCACAATATGCTCATGAGGGAAAAGGGTTAAGAAAAAGTTTTACGGACGACGGATGGACGGACGACGGACGGACGCCGGACGAAAAGCGATCACAAAAGCTCACCCTGTAATTTTGTGGACAACACAGTAGACACTTTGTCAAAATCTAGGTCAGCTGATATCAAAAGTCACTTTATCTTAATCTGTGCACATGGTTCAAATTTCATAGTTATAGATCAAAGGACCAGAAAGAAGGTCACATCATCAAAATCTAGGTCACCTGATATCAAAGTTCAATTTTACAACTAAAACTGTGCACATGGTCAAATATCATTGCTGTTCATCAAAGGACAAGAAAGTAGGTCACTGTCCCCTTGGACAAGGCAAAATTTTGACCCAAGGGTTTCATTCAAAACAATCTTGATACAGGTCCACATTTCAAGTCAAATCTCTAAGCTGTAGCTTTTTCCCATTCAGAAAACATTTTTTTTTATTTTCTGTTTTTCCTATGAGTACATAATGAGAATCACTGCCCCCAGGCAGGGCCAATTTTGACACCAGGGGAAACAAGAGCTGTCAGTAGGACAGCAACGCTCGATTATTCTTAGTGCTTGATAGTAAAAAAATGGTTGATACAGTTACCTCCTCCTGTTTACAGGTTGGGGTCATGATGGTGAACAAGTGTGCAAAGTTTCAAAGCCATATGTCAATGGACTTTGAAAATATTTGAACTATTACAAAAACTTTAACGTAAATTTTAAGTCGAAAAAAAGGGGCATGATTTTGTCAAAATGCGTGATAGAGTTACCTCCTCCTGTATACAGGTTGGGGTCATGATGATGAACAAGTTTGCAAAGTTTCAAAGCCATATGTCAATGGACTTTGAAAATATTTGAACTATTACAAAAACTTTAACATAAATTTTAAGTCGAAAAAAAGTGGCATGATTTTGTCAAAATGCGTGATAGAGTTACCTCCTCCTGTATACAGGTTGGGGTCATGATGATGAACAAGTTTGCAAAGTTTCAAAGCCATATGTCAATGGACTTTGAAAATATTTGAACTATTACAAAAACTTTAACATAAATTCTAAGTCGAAAAAGGGGCATAATTCTGTCAAAATGCTTGATAGAGTTACCTCCTCCTGTCTACAGGTTGGGGTAATGATGGTGAACAAGTGTGCAAAGTTTCAAAGCCATATGTCAATGGGCTTTGAAAATTTTTGAACTATTACAAAAACTTTAACATAAATTCTAAGTCGAAAAAGGGGCATAATTCTGTCAAAATGCTTGATAGAGTTATCTCCTCCTGTTTACAGGTTGGGGTCATGATGGTGAACAAGTGTGCAAAGTTTCAAAGCCATATGTCAATGGACTTTGAAAATATTTGAACTATTACAAAAACTTTAACATAAATTCTAAGTCGAAAAAGGGACATAATTCTGTCAAAATGCTTGATAGAGTTACCTCCTCCTGTCTACAGGTTGGGGTCATGATGGTGAACAAGTGTGCAAAGTTTCAAAGCCATATGTCAATGGACTTTGAAAATATTTGAACTATTACAAAAACTTTAACATAAGTGGTTACGCCGACGCAGACGCCGACACTGACGCCGACGCTCGGGTGACTGCAATAGCTCTACTTATTCTTATCGAATAGCCGAGCTAGAAATTGAACAACTTTGTAGAGGACCTATAGATGATATTATATAGCAAACATCAAAGCTCTATGTCTTGTACCTTCAGACGAAAAATATTCCAATTTTGACCCCAGGGCTATAATTTGAACAATCTTGGTAGAGGTTCACTTCACAAAGTCTCATGCCATATATTTTACATCTAGCCTTTGTCAATTTAGAGAAGAAGATTTTTCAAGTTTTTACATAATACATTTAAGGAAAACTATCGCCTCTGGGGCAGGGCAATTTTATCACTAGGGGCATAATTAAAACAACTTTAGTAGAGGACCCATAGATGATATTATATTCCAAATATCAAAGCTCTAAGCATTGTACCTTCAGACAAGAAGATTTTAATTTTTTACTGTATGTACATAGTGAAAATCAACGAGCCCTGGGTGTGGGGCCAATTTTGACCACAGGGCTATAATTTGTGCAGTCTTGCTAGAGGTTCACTACACAATGCAAAATATCTCACCTCTAGGCCTTTTTGGTCTTTACAAGAATGTATTTTAAGTTTTTACTATATGTACATATAGTGAAAATCAATGACCCCCGGGGCAGGGCCGATTTTGACCCCAGGGCTATAATTTGAACAAACTTGGTTAGGGTCTACCAGACAACTTACAGTAAAAACATTTTTTTTTTAAATTCTAGCAATTGACAAATGCTTGAGGTTAGATATTTGCATAAAACATTGTGTAGTGAACCTCTAGCAAGACTGTTTAAATTATAGCCCTGGGGTCAAAATTGTCCCCGCCCCGGGGTCATTGATTTTCAATATATACATTTAGTAAAAAAATTAAAAACATCTTATTGTCTGAAGGTACAAGACTTAGAGCTTTAATATTTGTTAAATGATATCATCCATAGGTACTCTACCGAAGTTATTCAAATTTTGCCTCTAGTGTCAAAATTAGCCCCTCCCCGGGGGCCATAAGTTTTCCTTATATGTATATAGTAAAAACTTAAAAAAAATCATCTTCTCTAAATTTACAAAGTCTAGAGTTAAGATAATTTGCATGAAACATTGTGAAGTGAACTTCTACCAAGATTGTTCAAATTAAAGCCCTGGGGTCAAAGTTGGTTTCGCCCCAGGGGTCATTGATTTTCATTATGTACATATAGTAAAAAGAAATATTTTGTCTGAAGGTACAAGGCATACAGCTTTGATGTTTGCTTTATAATATCCTCTATAGGTCCTCTACAAGAAATGTTCAAATTTTTGCCTGGTGTCAAAATTGGCCCTGCCCAGGGACAGTGATTATGAGCTCATTATGTACACATAGTAAAAACAGAAAATAAAACAAATGTTTTCCTAATGGGAGAAAGAATTGATTTAACCACTAATCTGATAATAAGAATAAGATAGGTCAGGGATCTTTGCATATGGGCAATCTTCAATTGTAAAGAAACAACAAAAATCTGTTCCTACACTACTATTTAGTGTTGTATTATGCGGTGCATAGCATTTTTTCTCAAAATGCAATCTTGTTGAAACCTAAAATATATCTTGGCATATCATATATTAGCAGCAAAACATAATTATCTACATCTCTGGTATAAGCAAGTTAGTATAATTTAACTGCCTGGTAAAACACGGTGCGACAATTTCCATTATTTAGAATCAAACAAAAATAGTAACCATGATCAGTTAACCAGCCATTTGGTCTAGTATTAAATCAAATCGTTAACCTTATTATAGTAAACATTTTTATTCATTGCACTATCCTTTTTATGTAATATCTTATTCAATTACACAAACTATTGGCAATTTCAATCTGCCAATCTTACAAGAAAGGTTTAAGATATGTTTATATCCATCTATTAATGTACTTAATCGTATCGACAATGTCCTACGTATCCCACAATGACGTCATCAAAGGGCGACAACTTGAATACGGTCTTAAATGAAAGGTCTATAGCACCAACCACATTATGTGGTAGGGTATAATGCAAAAATTAAATAACATTATTAATTCAATGATATTATATGATCCGGAGTACTTAATCATTATATAAATTTCTTAAATGATAAAGTAACTATGATCTATGTTTTTTTTTATATTAATTACAATATCAATACACTTGTATGTACACCATCAAAACAAATATTAACTTACCTAACTTGGTTTGCTCATACTCTGTCTGACTTTGATCTGAAGAAGTTTGTGTCTTAATTTTTGCCATCTCCTACAAAAACAAATCATCTTCTTTACTCCAAAAAAAAAAGACATTTTAGTTCAAAACTAATCAACAAGATGTTATTAAGATGTAAGTATTAATAGTATTTAATACCCAAAGGTATGTGCAGAATTGTGTACATATTTTTTATTTTTATTTTTATATTTTAGCAAAATAATCACCATGATCATAATTTAATTACTCGCCCAATATTCTTTGTAAGAAAATGCTCTGCAATTAAGGAGTAGGTCATCGGGTCACATTTTATATTCTTAAAGAAAATTAGAAATGTGTCCATAGGACATGGATGCCCCCACACGCCACTGTTCTGTCAATCTTATGACTCTAGGTCAAATATTTTTTGGACTACATGTGCCACAAGTTGAAAACGAAAAATCAACAAAGGGCCATAATTCTCTTAAATTTGGTCGCAGCAAAAATTCCTTACTTTACTGCCATCTACACATTAAGGTTGTTCATCCCTGAAAGTTTAAGAAAAATTTGCCGTCCGGTTTAAGAGGAGTTGCATTCACAAAATTTCTACATAGTATATAGTGAAAAAATCAACAAAGGGCCATAATTCTGTTAAATTTGGTCACAGCAAACATTCCTTCCTTTACTACCATCTACACATTAAGGTTGTTCATCCCTGTAAGTTTAAACAAAATCTGCCATCCGGTTTAAGAGGAGTTGCGTTCACAAAATTTCTATGTAGTATCTAGTGAAAAAATCAACAAAGGGCCATAATTCTGTAAAATTTAGTCGCAGCAAAAATTCCTTCCTTAACTACCATCTACACATTAAGGTTGTTCATCCCTGTAAGTTTAAGCACAATCTGCCGTCCGGTTCAAGAGGAGTTGCGTTCACAAAATTTCTACATAGTATCTAGTGAAAAAATCAACAAAGGGCCATAATTCTGTTAAATTTAGTCACAGCAAAGATTCCTTCCTTTACTACCATCTACACATTAAGGTTGTTAATCCCTGGAAGTTTAAGCAAAATCTGACGTCCGGTTTAAGAGGAGTTGCGTTCACAAAATTTCTACATAGTATATAATGAAAAAATCAACAAAGGGCCATAATTCTGTTAAATTTGGTTGCAGCAAAAATTCCTTCTTTTACTGCCATCTACACATTAATGTTGTTCATCCCTGAAAGTTTAAGCAAAATCTGCCATCCGGTTTAAGAGGAGTTGCATTTACAAAATTTCTACATGGTATATAGTGAAAAATCAACAAAGGGCCATAATTCTGTTAAATTTGGTCGCAGCAAAAATTCCTTCCTTTACTACCATCTACACATTAAGGTTGTTCATCCCTGTAAGTTTAAGCAAAATCTGCCATCCGGTTTAAGAGGAGTTGCGTTCACACGATTTCGGGACGTACGGACTGACGGACACGCTATATGCTACCACATTGTGGGGGCATAAAAATTGCTTCGAAGTGGTACAAATTTGAAGCTAAAATTATCAACATGATTATCAAAGTTTATAGTTCTATACCTTATCTTATATTAAATATAAAAACATCTTTTTTTGGACAACAAACTCAACATTTATCAGTGCTGAATTGTGAAAACTAAGAAATGATTGAAGTAAATCCTTCAACGGGTAAAACCCTAACAAAACAAACAAGATATATTATAATATTTAACCTTTGCAAGTACAGGTGTACAAATACATCATTACATTAACAATCAGAAGGAAATTTGTTTTACCTCTTTCTGTTCTGAAACAAGTGTCTCTAGAACAGTAAGTTTCTCTTTCAATTTCGCTTGCTCAATTTCCATCTCAAGTTTTTCTTTCTTTTCTTCTGTAATTGTTTTCTTTAGTTCTTCAAGTTCTTTTTTATTTTCCAGTTTTCCCTTCTTTTGGTCAGACATCTTGGTTTCAAGTTCTAATAGCTTTTTCTTCAGATCATCATATTGAGTTGCAAAATTTTCTGTTGATTTTAAAACTTTTCCCATTTCTTCTTTGATTTGCCTTAGAATCTCTTCAAAGCTTTCAGTACTAATAATGAAGTCTGTCTTCTTCAGCTGATGAAAAATATCAGTTTTGTAACATTTACTTCCTTAAAAAATGTATGTATATGATTTATAATATTTCCTTTTCTAAACAACATATTATTTATAAGGTCAGACTTTATTTTAAGCTTTCAATTAAATCAAGGGTTTGACGTGTTTGAAAGTTTGATGTTCTAGTGGGGGTCAAGATATATGGTCACAGCTAATTGGAAGATACAAACATTTTGCAGGTTTTACTATCTCAAGTATAATAATCATTCACACCCCTTTTAATTGTCCGGATATTGTTAGTTAATTTGCATTGCTATAATCCAAACTTTACCACAATATCAGAATTTAGAACGCCTCAAAAATTCAGAGGTAAGAATTATATAGAATTTCGGGACCCAAAATATTGTTCGGATTTCAAAGTTTTTGGATTTCATAAGATCCTTACAAACTAAAATCTCCTTTGCTTATAATTTAACATTTTATAGGTACATATATATTTTCATGTGACTTTATCAATTAACTTAAGGGAATTATTATTACCACTTCAAACTCTGTTACCTTAACTTTGTCCTGAATTATGTGGCATGTTATCTTTAATCATTTTAAGTTAACTCCATAAAGATTTCAAACTGATATTATTCATTATTTACACTTACATCTTGAAGTTTTTTCACTGCTATCTGGGCATCTGGTTGTTGTAATAGCTCTTTACCATCTTGTAAAACTGCTACCATATCGTCAATATATGAATTGGCCTCTCTTTCTTCTAATTCCATGCTGCTTGAGTGGAAAATATTATTTCTATACTGACGTACCTATTGAATAGAAAACACAGGTTTTAATATTGTTTTATGCATATACATGTGTATACTGTTAAGCAAACAAAATTGTTTTGTTGACACTTGTTAAGGTACTTACCTTCATAAAAGACGCAATCATAAATTATACCAGGCCTTTTTCTTACATGTATAATATTCATTGCAAATTTGGGGACATTGTGTCTAAGACTTAATTTTTTGTTCAAATAAGGAAAAAATAATTGTGAAATTTATTATTTGGGAAAAAAATGCCAGCATATAAAATGTGCAAACTCTTTAAACAAAGCTAAATAAATATTACTGAAACTGATTAGAATTTAAAAGATATCTGAAACATTTGGAACGTCTACACCAAATACAAAATCTTTTTACCTTTTTTCAAATCAACATCTTCGGGAAAGGGATGTTTTTGGGATTGGGAAAAAAGGACAAAGTTTGCATTGGGAATGCCCAGGCCTATATTTGGACACATGGGTTACGGAAAAATAGGCCTGTATACAAATAGTTCTATATAATATACAAATCTACAATTGTACATGTTTACAGTAAATATTAACCACAAGCCTTGTGAATTGTTATCATAAACGACTGGTGGATTTTTATACATTTGTTGTGGAGGGGTGAATAACTTCATAACCTTCTTAGTTAAACTATAACTGCCACTGTCATGGCGTGAATACCCCCGCATACCACTTTGTCAGAATAAAGCTCAAGGACAACTCCCCTGCCATATCTGAAGGTAGTAAGCCATTGCATTGCTAAATTATGTATTTTACATGTTTTTGTGGCAAAGATCAAAGTGACCTTTACCTTTGACCTCAAAACTGAAACTGCCACTGCATGACTTGAATATCCCCATTCATGCAGCTTTGCCTGGGTTGTTTTATGATGAATATAATTATGAGAACATAATCTTTATGCCTCAAATATGAAAATGTCAAAATCAATATCACTTTAGACAGGCATTCTTAAGCATTTGAGTGGACAAACCTATTGAAGTAAAATCCCCTGTGACCTTGACCTTTGACACAGTGACCTCAAAATCAATAGGGTCATCTACTTATCATGACTAACCTACTGCCAAATATGAAGACTGTGGGTCAAAGGAATCTTGAGTTATTTGGCAGACGTCACAAGGAAAAACCGACGGCCGGATAGGCGAGCTGATGACAAGCTGTCAGTCCGGTATACCCCCTTACAACTTTGTTGTGCGGGATTATAAATATTATTTTCTCTTTTACTTAAATGCTGAATATACAACATTTACATTACAATAGAGCTGATAAAAGATAAGTAAAAGATATTTTATTAATGATTTACCTTTGAAAAAAGATTGTTTGTTCCTGTGACATTGCATCCAATGTGGCTATGAAAATACTGGTTATTTATCATTAGATGTAATAACCCAGTGCAATCAGTTTTCCCAGCAGATTGTTTCTGCTCGTACCCTGGAGCATTTATAAAACACTTACAAATGCTCCAAGGGTCTGTTGACCACTGTTGAGCATCGGTGCTTTTCCAGTTAGGTGCAGGTGGTGAGGATGAATGATGCTGCACAATATAGTCATAGATGGCGCCACATATGTTGTTCGGACAAGCAATTTTGCCCTTGAAGCAACAGCTGCATTTAACTTGTCCAAGAGGACAAACTCTGTTTTTAGCACTCCCTACTGGCTTATGGTCTGGTTTGAGAGTTTCAACTTGACAACCCCCACACGTCACAGTTGATGGTAGTGATTTTGTAGAACGAATGATTTGTAAGATATCCTTATGTTGTTGGTCAGCTATGTCATTACAGAATGGTACCAGTCCCTCCTTTAAATATCCAAGTCCTAAACCAGCCTTTACCCACTGTCTGTATTTTTCCTTCTCTAACTGAAGTTGATGTGCCATCATAGTACTCTATCAATATCTAAACAAAACAAAACGATTATGTTAGATTTTATATGAATCAGTAATTATGGTCTTGGATTGCAATTTAAAGTCCAAAATACCGGGTTTATATGATGTGTTCCTAAAAATCAATTACAGGGACAAAAAAACTAGAGGTGTCATAGATCAGGGTTTTTGTATTGCTATATTGGTAAAGAATTATCGGCGATACAGCGATAAATCAATTGCCAGGCAATATTTAGCTTTCAAGATTTTCCATAAGAACACTGACGACTCTATGCAGTTGTAATTAAACATATGCATTTTGTAAAAAAAACCACTTGACAAAACAAAATAGATAAATAAACTATGACTAGAACTCTGCGAGTAGGATGTGTCGCCTTGTGAACAATATAGTTTAGGAGAAATGGCCAGGACAAAAATGAAATATGAAAATTAACAAAGGGCAATAACTAAAAAAATAATAAGTGCAGAGCAGCAGTTTCTGTGCACTGCACTTCTTATCAATAAGATCTATCATTCTATGAAGTTTCAAGTCCATATCTTTTATAATTTATGAGAAATGGCCGGCACAAAAATAAAGTATGAAAATTAATACAGAGAGTAATAACTCAAAAATAAGAAATGCAGAGTACCGGTTCTTGTGCACTGCACTTTTTCTTAATTAGATCTATCATCCATTGAAGTTTCATGTCCATAGCTTCCATACTTGAGGAGAAATGACCTGGACAAAATAAAGTATGAAAATTAACAAAGAAAAATAACTCAAACAAGAAGCGCCGCAATGCGACAAAAACAAGATTTTCAACGACCAAGTTTGGATGTGACATCAATCAATAGGTCAAAGTACATTACAATTATTGAGTAGAAGCTGAAAATTCTATTGTAAGCAAATGACCTTGAACTTGCTCACAGATACCCAAGTGGCAATCCAAAGCTGCCACTCAGCAAGTTTGGTGTCAAAAGGTCAAAACAAACTCAAGTTATAACATGAAAACTAAATACATTAACCTTGATCACAGACACCTGGGTAGCAATCCTAAGCTGCCTCTTGATATAAGCTACCCATTCATCAAGTTTGGTGTCAATAGGCCAAAGAAAATTCAAGTTATTGAGCAGAAACTGAATTTCTAGTTTTAGTTACAGTGACCTTGACCTTGATCACAGACACCTGGATAGCTATCCCAAGCTGCCTCTTGATATTAGCTACCAATTCATCAAGTTTGGTGTCAACGGACCAAAGCAAACTCAAGATATTGAGCAGAAACTGAATTTCTATTTTTAGCAACAGTGACCTTGACCTTGATAACAGTCACCTGGGTAGCAATCCCAAGCTGCCTCTTGATATAAGCTATCCATACACCAAGTTTGGTGTCAATAGGCCAAAGCAAATGCAAGTTATTGAGCGGAAACTGAATTTCTATTTTTAGTAACAGTGACCTTGACCTTCATAAAAGACACCTGAGTAGCAATCCCAAGCTGCCTCTTGATATAAGCTACCCATACACCAAGTTTGGTGTCAAATAGGCAAACAAACCCAATTTATGAGCGGAAACTGAAATTACTTTTTTTTAGAAAAATGCCCTTTTGCCCTTTTGAAAAAACACCGGGGAGGCAAATCCATTTCCTCTTGATATAATCTATCCAACCCAAAAATTTTGTGTCAAAAGGCCAAAGAAAACTCAAGTGTTTGGGCCCGAAATTTTGATTTCTATTTGTTACAGTGCCCTTGACCAAAACGGGACACCGGGGTAGCACCCCCAAGCTCCTCTTGATATAAGCTTTTTCCATACCCCCAAGTTTGGTGCAATGGGGGCCAAATAAATCAAGTTTTTTTGAGCGGAAACTATATTTCTTTTTTTAGTTACGTGACCTTGATTTGATCCAGACAACTGGGTACCAATCCTACGGCTGCCTCTTGATATAAGCTATCCATACGCCAAGTTTGGTGTCAATAGGCGCCAAAGCAAACTCAAGTTTTGAGGCGGAAACTGAATTTCTATTTTTTTAGTAACAGTTAATTTGACATTGAATAACAGACACCTTGGATAGCAACTCCCAAGGCTGCCTCTTGATATAAATAGCTATCCATCACCAAGTTTGGTGTCAATAGGCCAAAAATCAAAACTCAAGCTATTGAGCGGAAACTGAATTTCTATTTTTAGTAACAGTGACAATGACCTTGGATCACAGACACCTGGGTAGCAATCCCAAGCTGCTCTTGATATAAGCTATCCATACCACCAAGTTTGGTGTCAAATAGGCCAAAGCAAACTCAAGTTATTGAGCGGAAACTGAATATTATTTTTAGTAACCGTGACCTTGACCTTGATCACAGACCACCTGGGTAGCAATTCCAAGGCTGCCTTTGATATGAGCTACCTACACACCATGACTTAGTTTGGTGCCAATAGGCAAACTAAAGTTATGAACGGAAACCAAAAGTTGACGCCCGCCCGCCCGCCGACTCCGGTATTACAATAACCCGGTTTTCGCTGAAAACCTGGTTAAAAATAAGGAATGCAGAGTACCGGTTCTTGTGCACTGCACTTCTTGTTATATGAGATATATCATCCTATGAAGTTTCAAGTCCATAGCTTTTATAGCTGAAGAGAAATGGCCCAGACAAAATTAAATTATGAAAATTTAAAAAGGCCAATAACTCAAAAATTAAGAAAGTGCAGTGTACCTGGTCCTTTGTGCACTGCACTTCGGGGTTAGTAATGACAGAAGCATACATACAAAAGTTTGATGTCAATCTCTCATATTGACTGAGTTTATGCTCCGGAAAAGCTTTAGGGGACGCCGACGCAGACGCGGAGACGACACCCGCAGACAACAAAAATAACCCATATATGTTCGCCTTTTTAAAAAGGCGACACAAAACTGAACAATTTTGTTTATTTCTTTTATCATATAACTTTAAATGACAACTTATGAATAGAAACTCATGATTCATAAAAATTTATAAGCAGCACTGCCCTCCAGATTCATGCTAATGTTCATGAACTATATTGTTTAAAATATTAAGTAACAGTCTCAATTAGCAATTTTTCCTTTTTTTCCGCCTCATTTTACTTTTTCCCGGGAAACTTTTTTAACGGCGAGCAGAAAAATCGCGGGGGACATACTAAGTATGCCATGGCGCAAATTTTTCACCACGGACCCGGGTAGTAAAAAATTTAACTCTCAATCTGCGGTGGAAAATTCACAAGAGTTTGCAGTGATTAATTTGCATATAATGTAATTGTTGTCACCTGTAAACTGTTAACAGCGTAGCTTTTTTTAAATAATCAAAAAATACAACAGTAAAATTGTTGATTTTTAAAATCATTCTTTAACGATCTTTTAACCCCCAACTGCTTTTTGAGGGGGAAGGATTTCTATTTTTGTTTATAGTCTTAGAAAAAACACATAGAAGAGTATATATTATGGATAAGTCAAATTATCCCTTTATTTGGACAGTCCAAGAAATTATATTTACAAATACAAATGTATAATAAGAAATATTCTTAATCAAAAGAATTCTCAATACATGTATAATCAAAGATATAAAATTTCTTTTAGACAATTTATTTCAAAATAATAACTATTATTTATTAAAAATTAAGTTTGGGGAAATAATTATTCACTCAGCATTATGAGAACATTTTTGATAATTAAAAAAGGTAACAGGTACCATGTCAACAAAATGTTATAATAAAATACTTAATTTACATTACAAAAATCAATGTCAATGGTATTCATTGTGTTCCTAAAATACAAGTCAAACTATGAAACAATGTTGTAAGTAAAACATAAAGTTTACATTTAAACCCAAGTCAGAGACTAAAGTAAGTTTAACAAAATTCATTTCCTATTGAAATTTTAGAAAAAAGGTTAAAATATGAAATAAAGTTTAAAACATGAGTTAAAATATAAAATAAAGTTTAACATGAGTCAAAATATAAAATAAAGTTTAACATACCTGCTAAAAAGACCTAAAAGTGCTTCCTAGGCCTAAGCAAAATGTGTTGATTTTAAAACCCCCAACCCCTTTTAAATTTTTGAAAAAATTTTCCTAACCCA